TAAGCGAATAAATAACAAGGTCAATGTATGGCTCAAGTAAAATGAATAGAATAAGATATATTATGGGCTAAAATTAATGACTACCACTACAATACGCTGCCATACATCTGACTACCATACAAATATGTGTCCCTACTCAGTCATTCTCAACTTTTTCTTTGGCTGCAACAGGAGAATTTCATGAGAAGAAACTCAGAAATTCCTCCATACCCAAATCCTCGTTACTCTACAGATAGTTTCTTGATATCAATTTCTGATTGACTACATTTATTTCCGGGACACCATAGACACAACAAAATCTAACTGATGCTTACTCTAGATCAACTTTCAAATGCAGTCTGTAACTACAAAACAAGATATTATTAAGGGAAAAAGTTTTTTATGGTAGTCAAATATATATTGCCAATTAAAACACATCAGTCTTCGTGTGACGATGAAGTACGTTAAAGTTGTTAGATATTCGAAGTATTTCGAAAATGTTCACTTTGATGACATTTACGAAGTCTATCGGTGCTGATTATGCATTTTCTGTTTTAGGAGTCATTAATATAGTTTCTGACTGCCATAGAATTGATTAGGTCAAGCAAGTAAGCTGTTACTGTGAGAGAAATACTCCATACTCACTTGCCGTTACTAGCCAAGAAATTTTCGGAATAACTGCTTGACAACTAGTTTTTTGAAGATAAAAGTTGTGTATAACATATGAATTGAACGCAAATTTGTGAGAAATTAAGCAATAAGTCTACGTAAATTTAATGCAGATCTGGCAGTTAAGTCCTCATGTTGGGTAAATTTCAGGTGATTTGTCGTGCTTTACCAGAAATCTACAAAAATGGGCAGTTGTGTTTTTCGTCTTTAGAAGCGCCTTACAACTCCAACGGATTCCATTCAAAATACATTTGACGATTTTGAATGATTAGGATAGTTATGGACAGAAAACAAGAAAAATTTTTTCTAAATAACTTACCTGTCTAGTAGTAATGGATCACCAAAGCCTTCATATAGGGCCCTAGTAATATTAAACAAGGTAATTAGCACAAATTAAAAGGAGAAGAGGCCTCTGTACCGAATGCCAAGGGAACCTACTAGGACATTCCGAAACCTAAGGAAAAGTTTGAAAACAGCCAATCGACAGTCTGATAGTATATCAACAGTCAATTATAAGTGTTCAACTTTATCAGATATTTCACCCAATAACTTTCAAATTAACAGAATTTACACCTACCTAAAATCAATTGAACTAGCACAAATTAGTCGCCAGATTGACTGTACTGAGTGTTAGGGGGAACAGAGTACTGTTTCTTATCGGAAAATATAGGAGTTAGGAAATTAAGTTTTCAACATAAACTCACAATTAAATATTTAAAAACAAACATTGGCATTTTCCATGATTGACTTAATTTCATTGTTTTGATCGCGTATATGCACTGGAAATACTCTTTTTCCTTTACTGGAATTTATTTTGGTTAAAGTAATTGCGAAGACTATATCTTTTTCCTAAGGTAATTTATCATCTGTGCTTTTGAGTATATTAGTTCGTTTCGTTTTTGTTTGCACTTTTGGATATAACAAATTTCAACTTTTACTTTTTTCTTATCACCAGCTTCTTTTGTCTCTGGGTATCGTTTGTGTCTAGTTACTTCATGAAAATGTCTGAATGATGACTACACAATGCCAAATAAAGCACTTGCCTGCGCCTAGACTATCTATACCCTGTGGAAAATGGCATGCAGTGTGATGAGTGCAAAGGATGATATCATGAAAATTGCACGAATTGAACACATGAGGCTTTCGAACGGTTTCGCAAAAAGAGTTACGGGGAGTTGTGTCAGTGATGCTCATCGGATACAAACAGATTGGTATCTGAAGCCACTGCATTGGTGAATTCTTCTGGATGGGATATTAACAAGCATGATCGAGACACATCAAACAGTACACGCTCGGCCAATACACAAGTTGACGCGAAGTTATCTGAAATAAGCTCAGAATCGATTGATTTACATGGGCCAACGGAGAAAAGGGGGCCTATAAAAAGGTATTTTTGAAATAAAGACTCAAGAAAGGAAGTTTCTCACTTCCTCCACCCCAAAAACGGCAGTGAGTAGAGAACGTCTAGAAAACCTAGTCGCAGAGCTGGGTCTGTTTCTAGCAGGACAAAATAAAAACCTGGCTAACTAAGTCAACGACGACCATCCAAGACCGCACAATGTGTGCAACGAGACTGCGGTTGCTACTTCAATGAAATTTGGTGAACAAATACAGATCACGGATAAGAAACGACACATTGTTGCTAAAGAAAAGCCATTTTCACAAACAGCAGCCCAGGGATTGATCACGGTGACAAGTTATTTGTCGTACACAGAGTTAATGCGGAGGTGAGTTTGGAACACAGAACTCGTTCTCTGAACAATATTGGATCGATAAAAGAGTTACTAAAGTGGTTGCTGATTGATTTAGTCTACAACAGTCGAAACTGTGAGGTGAATGACGTATTGTCAAACGGTTTCAACGCTCGGTCTTTAAGTGGTCGATATTTAATGTTAGGTGAGTTTAATGTACCTACGGAAGGCTGGAAAAATCTAAAAACTGAGTCGTCAAGAAATCCCTTGAACAAAAGAGAATTGATGCTATCATTTCATGTGCACGGGTGCGATATGTGAAAGATGAGACTAGGTACGACATGGACTCTGAATCATCTTTGCTGGATACAATATTGGCTCATTACGAGAGTGTCGCCAGACAGTTTGATTATCTGCGTTTTAAGTCTTTGATTTCCATATCGCTGTCGACGACAATGTGCCAACCATAGCCAGACCAAACGACTGGAAAGCAAATATACAGGATATTACACACTCAGCAGATAAGACAATGAAGCGGCTTACGAGGCTTTCAGAAATGTGTACATAAAGGTTAATCGACCGCAAGTTCCTTGGACTGCATCGAAGAATATGCTAAAAATTCCCACCGTAGTCCAGTGAGATTGACCACACCCTTCTTTGTAAGAGGAAAGAAATATGAGAGAAGTTTAGGTTGCTTTGTTCTCATGGGACAGGATTTGAACATTTGGAATCTCAAAATGTTGTATGTCGACCCTCAGCATGTCTAGAAGTTTTTACGACGAAAAAAATTGTTAAGGAATCTGTAGAATAACGTAAATTCTTATACTCGTTCATAAATCAAAGGACTAAGAGAAGAGGCTATATTCCAGGAATACGAGGAGACAGTAGTCCTGAGGCATCAGTGGATGACAGTAATGGTTAAGCTCAGGTATTCTCAAGTGACTTCAGCAATGCATATACTATAGAAACACCCTTCTCTTTAGTTCATACGAATCCACTCCACACACACACTGCTCACTGCGATCATTAAAGAAATAGTTGTCTTTGGTCTGCGAAATGGGCTTGGTAAAGGCAAATCCGTGTGACCCGCTGACATGCATCACACGTTACGAAAGGAATCAGTAAATTTTGTCACGAGTCCCCTAAGCATATGTTTGAATCTGTCTGTAACCCAAGGCAGATTACCAAAATACTGGAAGACTGCCTTAGTAAGTCCTATGTTCAAGACAGGCATGATACATAGACATGAGAACTATCGACATTGAAGCCTAATGAGGGTGGTTGCTAAAATTTTGGAAAAGATTCTTCGGAAGGGGTTGTTTGATTATCTAGACTAAAAGCTTAATCTTTATGAAAAACAGTGTGGCTTTAGAACAGGTTATTCACGTCTCACAAAATTATGGATGAATCATGAAAGTTGGTGCGCTCATAAAGATCAAAAGTTACCTGTAGATTTAGCTTACATTGACTTCAGCAAGGCTTTCGACAAAGTTCCTCACAACCGGCCGTTATATAAGTTAAGTAATATCGGGGTTGGAGGCAGTTTATTATTGTGGATAAAGGACTTCCTTGTTGAGCGTCAACAAAGAGTACGGGGAAACTTGAGGTTGTCTCTTTGGGAGACTGCTTATCACAGTGCAATAGGGTATAGTTTTAAGGCCGGTGTTGTTCGTCCTGTATGTAGATGACCTTCCTAATCTCCTATCACCATAGGTTTTGTTATATGCTGATGATTTCGTGATATGGAGAGCTACCAAAAATAAAGGAGATAGTCTAGAGCTTCAGAATGACTTGGTTAAGTTGTCTAGGTGGTCTAAAATTTTGCAGTTACAGACAAGTGCTTCCAAGTGCATTATGGTGCATGTTGGTCACCATGGTACTTATACATACACAGTGGATAATAGTGAGCCACCTGTTGTCCAGACACGCAATAAATTAGAAGTCATCGTTAGCCAAGACTTAGAAATTACTGCGCACTGCCGCCGAAGGTTATTGATTCATATGTTCATTACGTGTGGTCTTTGGCCATGTCGATGGTAAAATTATTTTGACTTTGTATACAGTATTCGCTCGTCCTAAAAAAGTAGAACTGAATACAAACGGTCAGTCCTTACCTAAAAAGAAGCAGTGAGTTGTTGGAAAAAATTCGAAGAACCTTAAATAAGTTGATTCTCGGAATCATAAAGCTCTCTTATGATGCTGGACCGGATTGAGTAAATCCATTTCTGTTGTCGTGTAGAAGAATCATGGGCAACTTAATCAGATTTTAAAGTAATTGGCGATGAATTTGCATCAGATATCCCTCACTTTCCTTGTCCTCCAAACCAGAGAATTTACGAGAACACCCTATAAATGTTCTCAAGTCGACTCATCAAGGAATGGAATTCACTACATGAACACTTTACTGAAGGTCCGTCTGACGCCGCTTTCAGAAGAAAGTTGGATCACCACAATTTTGAGGACTAACACAGGCCACTTAGTCTTCTGTTCTTTATAAACTGAAACGGAGGTTTCTGGGAATGTTTACAAAACATCCACAGTAATTTTAGTAATTTTACCCAAATTTAAGAGTTTGAGGTACTTTACATGTGATCATTCATTCTAATAACTGTGCGTGCAATGCGAAATATTGTTGTAATAAATTGGCTAATCGCGCTTGTTACTCCGTCAAGGCCACTTGGCACGGTTAATGAATATAAGTTTGCCCAGTTTTTGACGTAAGCTTATCAGCCTACTACTGGTCTGTTCCGTATAAACATGTTTATTGTCATACTACCTAATATGCATGTGATCTGTGATAATTAAAAGACTTTATAGCTCAATAATATAAATGGCAAAGTAACAGTTTATCAACGTAACTGAAAGAAGTGGAGTATTGAAGCTTCAGTGTAGCACTTAAGTATTGTATTCCTTGTCCACAATTTCAGTCTGTCGAATCTTTAAATGCTTCTGGTCGTCCCAAAGGCTTATCGGAATTTTTCAAAATCCATTGACCAAGTCAAGATGTATTTTAGATGGACCACTGTCACTCCCTTACTCCTTAGTCATAGTTTAGTTTCCGTGTAACTTACAGTAACAGTCTCATGATGTCGGTATCATGTGTTTGATAACTACTGGGTCCCTTGTACTGTGGTTCGTATGGCTGGTTAAAATACTTTTTATTCACACAATTTAGTAGTCAAGTACAAGTCTGTTTCTTTGACTTTGGGCTACCTATTTTGTGTAAGGTAACCACCCCTTTAGGCTGTTAGTACTAATGCAAATGATTTGTGGTTCGAACGCCAGACGTAAAGCTAACAGTCGTGTGGTTTAGTTACTAGGCCACCGCTCAGTCTTCCGTAATAAGGATAGTAGGCTGGTGAACCTGTATTAATCCTGACACATTGCTTTCCAGTGAAGGTCCAGCTTCTCCTTGAAAGTATTCACTGATGGGGCTGATACCAATTGTTCGGGTAAGGCGTTCCAATGATTGACTACTCGATGAGAAACACGAGACCCCACTTCAAGTTTATTAGGTCGTGGTTTATGAGCCTTCTTGCTATGACCTCGGAGATTATTAGTGCTGGAGGGGGCAAAAATATAAGACTTATTAACACCAAAATCATAATTAAAGATACGAAATGCCAGTATAAGGTCACCTCGTGTCCTACGATAGGACAAGGGGAAAAGATTTAGGCGTTTTTAGCACTCATCGTAAGGGAGTCTAGAAAGACCCTTCACTAATTTCGTCCCTACACGCTGGACACGCTCAAGGGAGTTAGTATCCTTTGTCAGACATGGGCTAGCTGCTTGGATACAGTACTCTAAATGTGGTCTAACATATATGGGATATAAAATTCGAAACGTTTCCTCTTCAAAAGATTTGAACGCTTGGCGGAGTGACGATAACGCACGAAAACCTTTGACAGTGGCTGCTTTGCAATATGTAGTTGTTTTTAAATCATGACTTAATACTGCTCCTAAGTCTTTATGCTCTTGAACGCATGGAAGAGGTTTACCCTCAATAGTGCAACAGTAACTATTACCGTGACCGATGTGCATTAGCACACTCTTCCTAGCATTGATTTCTAAGCCCCACTCTCGAGCCCATCTAACTAAATCGTCTGAGTCAGCTTGAAGATTCAGATAGTCAGCCGCACTTTTTATTCTCCAGATTTTTACATCATCCGCAAACAATAATGTCGACGACCTAAGTAACAGCGGTAACTCATTAACGTAGAGAAGGAAGAACAGAGGGCCTTAGATGGTGCCTTGGGGTACACCACTTTTGACCGGCTTCCAATCGGATAGCGTTCCGTTGACCCTCACTCTCTGTCTGCGGTCACATCAGAAATTTCCTATCCACTCATGTACAGTACCTATTATTCTGAAGCTCGTGAGCTTCTGCATAAGGCCTACGTGTGAAACCTTGTCAAATGCTTTGCTAAAATCTATGAATATCACATCGACAGACAGACCGTTATCTAGGGCTGCTGTCCAGTCCTCCATCGCAATAAGCAGGTTAGTCAAGCATGAACGCTTGTTACGAAATCCGTGTTGCTCAGGAGCTAACAGATTGTGTAAATCTATGTGGCTTAGCAACCTAACCCGAAACATCTTTTCAAGTAACTTAACGACTATGCTAGTTAGACTGACAGGCCGGTAGTTAGATACTATCTGTCGCTGACCGTCCTTAAATATAGGACTGACTATAGCGTCCTTCCAATCTCTGGGGAGTTGAGCGAGTGAAAGGGACATGTTGAAGAGTGTCGCGAGCGGTTTTTAAATAATGTCCGCAAGAGATGACAGCAACCGTGGATGTAACCCGTCAGGGCCCGGTATCTTACCAGGTTTGAGGTTAGTTATCAACGGAAGGACAGTTTCCTCAGTCACCTGTACAGATTCAATGGTTGGTATCTCGGTGTGAGTGGGACAAGTATTTGTTACAATAAACGTAGAGAAGACTTCTCTAAAATAGTCTGAAAAAGTCTCAGCTTTTGCTCGATCTGATTCAGCTAGTAATTCTGAATTTTCGTGTAACAGTAACGGGGGAATACCATCACCACGTTTCATTCGCCGTTTAACATACGAAAACAATAGTTTCGAACAAGTACGGCTGTCATATACTAACTGTCGTTCGTAAGGGGTACGGGATTTGGCTATGGTTTTATTACAGATATTACGGAATTTTTGGTACTCATGCTCAAATGGTGCATGACCTGTCAGCAAGAATAAGTCCCAGAAATGTTTCCTACGCTTTAACAGCTTCCGGGTTTCCTTATTAATCCATGGAGGGCAATGTGATAGCTTACGTGCTGACCATGGGATAAACGGCGACATTACAGACTCGAATGTAGCCTTAAACTTATTCCATTCATCTTCGATCAATCCATCCGCGTCGACCGACCAATCAATCAAGATAGCACAGTTTCTGATTTCTGGAATATTGACTCGCCAGATATTGGGACGGGGTGGAGCAGATACGAATTATATACCATGTGTCCTAAACTTAAAGTGGATTACAACGTGATCACTGTTCACTAGTGGGGGAAGGTGCTGAATATCAAAGACATCCTCACAGTGGTGGGTGAGGGCGAGGTCCAGCAGTCAGTCAGTCAGCTACAACGTAGGACCAGGCACATATGTGCATCGATCCAGGTTGCCATACCTCATTAGCACAGCAAGATGAACACCGGATTCATAGGAGTGGTTAAATCAAAGGTTGCAATTAGGATATAGTATAGGAAGAAAGAATTAGTTCGTAGACAGAAAGAATGAAGTGATTTTAGTCTCTTAGTTTAAGGGAAGACAGGGAGTGTATACACCGACGCCACTGTGATCGATTCTGAGCCATGTCACCAAGAGTCTCCAACCATTGGTTACGAAAGTCACGCGGACCCCAACCAAGTAGTCTGCATCTACCAACGTGGCTCAGACTAGAAGTTAGTGACTTCAAGCACTGATGCCACGTTTTGGTTTGGCCGCCCCTAACTTTCTTCCAACCATCCCCTACCCCGGTTAGCATTGCACGTCGCGGTAATCGGTGTTCAGGCATACGTAATACGTGGCCCAACCATCTCAGTCCAGCAGTGACGGATCATGATTGAAATCAATGTGTCGGTTTTGTGATACATTGTACAAGTTCACACTGAATAACGGTAGATAAAAGGTCGCTATCGAAGCCACTACCCGGAGCTGTAAGCTCTATCCAGTTGATATGCGGTGCGTTGAAGTCCCCAATGATGAGACAACATTCTGCTATACTCCAAGAACAGATGTGTCTTAGAATAAAGTCGTCAGCAAGACAAAACGGACTACGGTATATTCCCCCTATAGTCACTAACCCATTTCTAGATTTAATCTTACAACATGCAACCTCACATGTGCCACTGATATGAGCCTCCGATATGGTTGGTTGTATACGAAAGTGATCCCTAACGTATAATATTATATCTCCCCCTTTGTGACTTGAAACTCTATCACTTCTAATACAGATATAGCCTGCAATGAAAGAAGAACAGTCTATATCTACTGTGAACCAAGTTTCTGTAACAACAATTATACCGGGATATAATTCTTCCACCATCAGACTTAGCTCGGACGTTTTATTTCTAAGACTACGAGCGTTCGTGTAGCACACACTTAAGGTGTTTTGGCAATCAATCGTTCTACCCATACAGGCCTCGGAAGCATTGGCTTCCAAGACCTGATTACCCGAAAACCCTTAATGGTCAGGTTATTTTCGCCATTTAATTTGCGAGTCCTCAACTCCGTAAGCGCATTCTTCCACTTGATTCGATCCTCAAGCGGCCAATCTGGTCGAATACGGATATTTGAGTCACGAGTTTTTAGTGCGCTTTTCAATAATATGTCTCTTTCTTCAAAACTCCCGAGAACCAGCTTCAGGATTCTTCTTGGTTGGGTCTCGCCTCCAACCCATTTACCAAGTCGTATTACTTTTGTAATATGTACCCCTCAAAGCTCTTCAGGTAGTACATTCCTTACCACAGACTTCACTGACTGCAGGTCATGTGCATGTCTTCTAGCAGGGTCTTTGTCTTTCGACTCCTCTAGATTCCAGGTAATTAAACTAGGGAGGGGTTTAGCTTCTTTTGAAACTGTGTTCACAGCTTTCGATCGTGACGTTCGATCCTGTATTTTAACTACTGGTACCTTACGATTAGTTTTTATTGTAACAGAGTCCTGGGAGTCAAGCGAATGACTCACAACAATGTCAGACGAAGCTTTACTATGGGACTTTAGCGGATTGGTCTGAGAGTCCACCAAGGACTAACCAAGTAAGCAGTCATTAGTTTTAGCTATCTTTCCTACTCTTCTGGGTTTTCGCGTCATCCATTTTCCATCAGTCGAAACGTCTATATTAGAACAACTCGGGACAGTAATTGTTTTATCTGGGTCACCGGTTGCTGCTGTAGCAATATGGCCACCAACGTCTAACGAGGTGTCACTCACTGATCGTTTCGCGGGAGAACGTTTAACTGCGGGTTGCACAGGTAGATGTCTGGCTTGCGCCGTGATAGCACTTACGACACTAACGCAATCTTCGCCATCAGTACCAATGTTATCAGTACAGCCCTCATAAACCTTCTTATTAGCCAACACCAGGAGAATAATTGCTTCCTGGATAAGCAATGTTTTGCTCGAGCAACAAAAACTACAAAGCCAATGAGAGTTGGGCTTTGAGCACCTTTTATATGCAGTGGGGCTTAATCGGGTGCACATCTTATGGAACCACTTATTACACTCATATTGCATCCTTTCCTCCACGGGAAATAAGCAATATGGTTGTCCACTTTTATGAGCAGATCTAGCCATCTTGAAAATCAACTAGAACGGTGACAAAAATAGGATTCTCAAACCTTGACTAAATAAATCAAGTAAAAGTCGATCACGTATGCTTCTATGCAATAAATACACAAAAGCAAAATCGAAACTCAATGCAATATCACTTTAACTGTGATATATGCAATTAAAGTGTAAACAGTAGTTCTGATGCGTAATTTACGATCAAAACAGTTAATTAACTCAACGAGAAACAATAAGTAGTGATCTTCGATAATCATTATCGTCAAAACAAAGTAGGGAGTATGTTGTTGACAAAGGCTTATTTGGGTGGATTTTGTGAAGGATTTTTGATGTCAAGCATTATCGTATATTTCATGCAGAAAACTAGCTATGTAAGGCACTCGATTATCAACAATTTAGGACAACGCACTCCTGTTTCTTAATATGGGTAGTATCTTTGACTCTCACATAACAAACATTTCCATTAGTCCGAAATACAGGCTTGTATTTGACAAATCAGTTTCAGTTTAAGAACAGATGTCTGAGTGTAACGTTAGTGAGATTGTTAGTTTCAGTCCTAGCAATGGGGGTCTCAGTTTATACAACTCGTTTGAACGTGCTGACAAATAGGGTTACAGTCGCTTGTTAGGATAGGGAATTTCACGCTATAATTATTTGAGAAAGTTGTTACTTAGCTGACAAGTCGTGAACTTTTTGGAGTCTCCTGCTTGGCGGCTTAGTTACTCTTTGTTGTGGTTCTATACTAGAAAATTGTTCGTCCGTATGAGGTTTGTGTCGTACTTGTTTTAAAGACAGCACTCACCAATGAGTTCTTTAAGTAATTTGATAAACTACCCTGGGCTAGATATAAAACACATACTTTAAGGATTTACTATTAAGTGCGCGAGTTCTTCCAGAACCCTAATGGGGATTTCGCCGGGTCCCATATATTTTCTTACATTGAATTTACTTAATGGACTAATGGCCAACTCTTTTAAGGGTCACAATATCTAGAGTATGGGTGACAGGGTTTATTCGGGCTCAAGAGAAGTGTGTCTACTGTATATACATTGCTAAAGTAGTCTGAAAATAACTGGCCTTTACCGTGGTCATCTTCCACTGGCGTTTCCATACTACCACCTATATACATTTGCGGGACGCTGCACCATGTATTTTTTCTTCGATTTGTATACGAGTATAAGCGTTATGGGTATTCTATTGAATCCTTAACGAATATTTTTCATACTGTCAGACTTACATAGGGCAAAGGCACAAACATTTATGGCTTTCTGATATTATTACCTGGTCTCATCAGTGTCTAGAAACCTAAATCTCTCAAACTTTCCACCAGGAATGAAACTGACGACCTCTGGTCTTACGTGCGAGTATTTAACTTCTAGGCCGTTTAGTTAAAATCCCAATTTAATTTACTAATATTTAAAATTTCTAGTTGTAACTTCGCCTCACTGAAGCCCTGTCGATAACAATAGCTGTCTCCACTTTATTGGGATATTCATAGAAATAGCAGTTAAGTTGCATAGTTACCAGTCTCTCAGTTTACGCTCAGGTATACCAGTTAGATGTTTCTAAGGGATCGCTATACCTACCATCCCAATACTTTAATTGAAGCTTTTAGTTGTCTCTGGCAGCCATAAATTTGTACAGCAATGTTTCAGTGATATTCATTTGATCAACATACTATTCTGTTTCATTTGATTCTCAGACATTTAGATTCTCAAGTATGTTGGCTGACCAAAAAGTAGTTAGAGCTTTCCGTGACCTTCTCTTTAGATTGTGGCCTACACTATCTTGATGGATTGTGCCTATTAGTAGTAATACCAAAGACCGCAGCCATTGTAACAACCGTTTAGCCAGACTTCTGTCTTAAATTTCCGAGATAGGCGATAGACATCTTTTCAAACTTATTACAATATAAATTAAAATTCGGAAGTTGGTGAGACTTCCTAAAAGAGTGAAACAGTAATCCACTCTCAACCCAGCAAACTAGAAGATGTGTAAAAGATTTTGAAGAACATGTTAACTGGTTTTTAACTGCTACCAAGCAACTTCAGTGAAATGTCAACACAAGTCCTCTGAGTAGTAATAAAGTTGAGAATCTGTAATTTATCTAAAGTGGGATAAAGCAGCAGGTTCAGATGTAATAGTCTAGGAAATGATAGAGCTCTAGTCTTAGCATTTGGAGTAGTTGCGTATACCAAATATTTGCTCCTCTCAGACATACCTACCGACTCCTAGTCACAGTTCTATTTCTCAACCTTAAGGCAGCATTCGGTTTTGTTGGCCGAAATATTTTATGGGAGTTCCCGACAATTAAAAGCAGCCTTGTGCAGACTTTGTATTTGAATACTACTATTTGAATTGGAGCTTATGACAAACAGTCATTAGAAGTGCTAACATTCAGTGGCGTTCGTAAAGATTTCCCATATTTCTTATTTTCATTTGACTGTCATAGACATCTTTTGGGAGATAACACTTTCCTCATTTAATCTACCAGGAATCGATTTACCAGGAGATTCTGTTTTGAACTTAAACTAAACATGATATAACTCTGTTTCCTGAAAATATCGGCAAGATCTATAGTTTTCTGGTAGCCTTGAACAAGAGTGCAAAGATGTCTGGGGTGCGTTTCTCTCCATCTAAACGCACAATATCACTTCAAGATAGATTCGCACTGACACCTCAAACAATGATAGGGAGTGAATTAGTTGAGTGAGTCGACCGGCCCACTTATTTTAGGAATCTCTTCAGTCTTGATAGGCCTTTGTTTGACGAAATCTCGGCATAAATTCAGAAAGCATAATCGGTTTTTGCTAATTTGTGTTGTCTGTGGGTTAAGTCAGTCAGTCAGCTACAACGTAGGACCAGCCACATATATGTTTGTGGGGTAAGCGAGATGTCCGCTTGCCAACTAAAGGACGGGTTTACTCTGTAACAGTTTGCTTCGTTGTACCTAATGGCTGGAACGTGTCCTTTTAAACCAGGATGTTCGTAGGTCACTTGTATTCGCTCATAGGTGTTTTGAAGCAATGCTCCTTTACGTTGGGACCATTAAGCTAGTAGTTCTGAGGTTAGATGCATAGTACTAAGTTAATATAACAAACCAAATGAGAAAGTAGTGGATCTTTATCTACTAAGATGGTTGGGATATGTATTATGTATCCCCATCCACCAACTATTTTATCTCGTACTTTTTCAACTTCTTAGTGTATGTGATTTATTTTGATACATCAAAGGTTAAACAGGCTGAAGACGTTTAGCGTTTACGATTATCACAATGAATACTTTTTAATGGCTAGAAATTAAAAATGTATCATGCAGATGCTTAATCCCTTGGCTGCCGGAATAGTGACTTAAAATTCGGTAAGGTTTAAAAATAGGATAATTTCAACCAGTGTTCTTAGGTCATATACGACAGGGTTTAGTCAGCTTAAAAACTGACAGGTTTGTAGTCTTCTACATGAAATCCCCAAATGATATTGTCCTGTCAAATATGTCAGATAATTTTCCCTCATGGCTGCTTATTTTAAACTTCCCGCAAATTTGAGTATATTCATTTAGCGTTTCTTTTTTTGTAGAGAAATTGAATTTGTTCATTATGGAAAGTAACGCTGATCTGGAAGAAGTTCAAATTAACGTCAATGGAACGAACCGTCCTCACGCTAAATCGATAGAACAGAATTTTTCTAGTTCAATACCGAATCATTCTGTTTCTTGCACAGAAGCTCCCGCTGTGTCACTTGAAACATCAAATGAATCGTCTAAGTCACCTACCATTCTGTCAAGTTCTACTGTAACTAAGAAAGAAATTCCTCCCGATTACGTTTTTGGGTCAAATATTTCATCACGCGTTGTGAATGCTGATGTGTCAAAAGGTGCCTCGGTTAATTTATGGACATCAACATCTACAAGTCATGATTCCGCCTCGTGTGTTTTTACCACACTGGCTAAAGCAGTTACTGCTTCTCAAGCAAACTTTAAGGATTCGAAAAATCTGGAAGATTCCGCAAAGGAAGTAGCTGAGGACAAGCGGAAGGAAACATTAACGTTAGCAGAAGTCGACCTAGTTACTGGTGAAGAAGGGGAAATTCCAATCATTCGACAACACTGCCGAGCTCATATTTTCGATGCTAATAAGCAGAAGTGGAATAATATTGGAGCTGTTCATTTCCATTTAAATGATATTCCCAACGACAGTGCGCAAGGAAATACCAATGCTTTCTGCAGGTCCCGGATAGTAGTGCGTTTAGTGTCTACACGCAGATTGTTGATTAATACTCTTATTTGGTCTCAAATGCCTGCCGCTATAGTTGACTCACGAACTTTGAGGATAGGTGCAATTAATGAGGAAGGACATATCAAAAATTATCTTTTTGGATTTCCACCGGATGAGTCGGCTTCCAAAATATTTGAAATGATAAGTTTTAGAAAGTCAAACGCTACTACTCTCCCGTATGAAATTTGTCATGACATAGCACCTGTTTCAAACAAAGATAAGGTGACTGGTTGTAAGCGTCAGTTAGAAATTCAAGCCAAAGCAGATGTAGATTGCTCACTCCATGTACCCCCGAAAATAGCCAATACTAATGTCCTTTCACCTACACCAAGTGTGGTTGTATTTCCAAAGACTAACATATTTAGACCATCGGTATTCACTCCAGTTTGTAAAGATTCGTCCAATAATTCATCGACCCCAAATCACTCTTGTCATGTGGGAGAACTACAGTTTCGAAATTCACCGTTGGATAACGTTGTTAAACGTCTCTGTGAAAGCAGTCCATCTGGTAGTTCTGAATCTTCTACACTTCCATGTAATAACAAAGTAACTGAACCCCCGAAATTGTCATCGGGTGTAAATTCTCAGAATATGCCTATCAGTTCGGTTTCAAGTAATCAATGTGCCGATTTCATATTCGGCCATAACGTTTCGGAACGCGTCACAAATGCTTCTTTATCTACAGTCGTTAACCGTGATATCTCCGGCAAGGATCTTCCAGTCGAGTCTTCAGAGTCAAACGACCACAGTTTATCTCCAGAAAAAGAAGAGAGTATAGATGCTTCTGAGACTGGTGAGGATTGTACTGTTCTTCCTAGTAAGCGAACATTAGAAGAATCTGCCGCTGCAGTAACTTCCGAGATGCTCGAAAAGTCGACCTATCTCTTAGCTAATCTTCCAGAATCTCCTATTCTCACTGGGGAAGAAGGAGAATACCTTACTCTGAAGGCTTACTGTCATTTTTATTGTTTTGATCGTCACAAACATGAGTGGGCCGGTCGTGGACAGGCTTACATCCACTTGAATGATGTTGCAATGAAATCTTCATCGTTACCTAGTCAAGTCTCCCCTTTTCCGTCTGGGCCGCCTGCACGGTCTCGTTTAGTAATCCGCACGTGCCAAACTTTGAAACTTTTAGCCAATGTTCCTATCTGGTCCGGTCTGAACGTTGCTATGGCTGATGAACGCTCTATTCGTCTGACTACAGTCTGTCATCCGTCAGAAACTTTGAATGATTCTCAAAATAAGGTGAGCTAGTGCCTTGCTCAATTTCATCTTCTAATTACATATACTAATATCCATATCAGTTACCAGTGATTAAACCGATTTGATTAGCATTTCTTAATATGTACCTCCAATAATTCTATTCATGTACACTGTCTTTGGATAAGTTGTAATACATTCTTTCCTAATCTTGTATATCAGTGACAATACACCGAATAAATTGACCCTCAGCGTGTTGACTATTTGACTTAATCTAGTTTCTGTGCCATCTGTCATTTAACAGAAGTTATGTTTGTGATAAACATCGCTAGTCGTATATTGTCTTTTATTTCTTTTCCTAAAAAGCGACGATCACCTCCAACCACTGAGTAAAACCTGAATTCCTGGCGTTGCTCCACTGCCTTGTGGACTGAACCTGTGGGTCAAAGGCTCGAGGAGTGGCCCCCCTAAGAAAATCACCCGCTTCGGTTCGGGCGCCCGGGCAGTAGTCCAGCCTTCACACAAATCAAATAACATAGTGTCGCGCATATATATTTAGTGCCTCATTGTATCAATGTTTATGTATTAAATAAACAGATAGAGCCCTTGATTTCAATAATAGGAAATTTTTGAAAGCAACTACATTTCAGTGATAATTTACCGACAGTTGCCATTCGAGCTGCTGGGGATCGCAATTCACTATATATCATCTTATATTAAAGCATATTCTTATTCAATTATCTGTAAATCATACTCATAATGTTTCAGTTTCAAAGATAGGATTGTATAGTGGTAACAATATGGTTGTTCTGGGTTAAACTGGTACATGGTACTAAGATTGAATCCGTTGTTCTTGAAGTTTTTTTTAAAGAAGTTTCAACTTATTAACTGATACATTAGTCTAGTTGAATCTTTTCACTTAAGAAAATGTATGCCTTTGATTAATAGCTTCTGATTTGTCATTGATGTTTTCCTAATAAATAATATAGTTGCAACTTCATTTGAAAGGAATCAGAATTGAATATGCATATCATACAATGTGTCCCACAAAACAGGACTCAGATACTGGTATGACAGTACTAACGATACACAGTTTCCTAGATCCCGACGACTACGATTGGTTTAAACTTCGTGATTAGACTGTCAAGTGTCCAAAGGACTGTATAAATATTACTAGCAGCAACACAATCTTCATGATTAAACGATGTTTTTTCAAATTGTTGTAATGTTAAGAATACTTAATGATAATTGTCAGCAAAAAGCGTGTTCCTTAAGCTTTACTGATGACATTTTATACTATTGCTAATACAAAGTGAACTCAATCCAACCGTACATTGAAGAAATTGCATATTGGTTAAATCTTGTTTGGCAATTATGAATCGTTTAATAGAATTGTAACTGTGTATATTTTTATATACTAATAGTAATTTCACTTTTGTGGAGGTTTTAGGTTATTAGTTTGATTGTTAGAATCATTCACTAGGTTTGAAGGACACTTCAGACAGCCAAGTAGTTATATTCAATAGGTGTAGCTTATATTGTATTACTACATGAACTTACACTGTATAACAATCATAATATCTTTGTTTATCTTATCGATCAGCTTCTATAAACAGGACATAATTACAATGTGGATATGTCCTAGACCGTTGGACCACTATCATAACTGTAAGTTGTAAGGAACCGCTATTATGGAAAACATTTTTTTGTGTGTAATCGTACTAACGTATTACATCTATTCACGTAGTTGACCATATTTGCTTTTCCTTTTGTCTGCATAGCCTTCATGTTCTATAGATTCAGTTGTTACAAAACCAGAATTTTGTGCTTATCTACTTGTTATGCATTCACATAAAGAAGCTGACCGTCTTTTTCAAGCTCTTAATTCGCGTATAAACACTTTTACTAGTCGTTTAAACGCTAAACCTACATATCTTCACGAAACAAATAGTGCATCCAACAGTCCTGGTGATTTTTCTTCTATTCATTCCCGTACACATGGTCATCTTGAGGAAGGTGATGACTCTCCTAGTATTAGTAAAGTTGATGAGGAAAACCTACGACCATGTAAGTTTTTCCGTGTATGATTTTTGAGGATTGAATTTGTAAACAGTGGTTCACAAGTACATATATGTTGAGAAATCTTTGTTATCAGTTAAAGGGTGTGTGCACCTTATACTTCATGAAACTAGCTATGTTAGACATTTTTCTTTCCTCCGTTAGTTCTAGACTATCGCTTGATAAAAATTGTTAACAATTGTGTGCAAGAACATAGATCTATACTTCACTAAATGACGATTATATGTCGTCTACGTTCGCCTCTAGTCAAAGTTAACTATTTTCAACACATGTCCACACAATCATGGATAATCAACCATTACACGCCTACTCTAAGAGTGAACAGTCGAACAATCTTATTGGTATCCATACATTTGACAGGTGTCCAAGTTGCATCCGTACCTGGAGTTATCCAGTAACCTATATGTAACAGCCAACGCATAATTCCTTATTACATTTAGTTTTTGTTTGGCTCCTATTATTTGTGATGATATTACTTTTTCAAATGAGTAGAATCCCTTCAATTCGAATGACCAAGAAAATAGATTCCTTTTCTCCACAGGTTATGGCATAAGCAAATGATCATAATTACTATAGCCATTATGGGATAAGTGACTGTGTTTTGCAAATTATTGACATGAATCCTTTAATAACAACTACTCGTTGACAAAAATGTAGTTATTGTAACTCACTATCTTAGCGTTTAGAACGATGAGTAGTGAATTTGAATCCCAGTAGGAATACCTATCCGCATTGAACGTAACACGCCATAAATGACAACATTTAGGTATATACTCAATATTCCAATATTAGCTAAACAGTTCAGTTCAATAAATCGCCAATAAAAATACCAGAAATTCAACAGTCATTATCATCTATTACTATTTACTCTCACCTATTATAGACATGAAATTAGAAATTGACGAACCTCCGACAGATGCGAACTCTCAATCTATGGGTTTCACACCACCTGACAATTTGAATTGATCTGTCAAGAGAAAATTACAAGATTTTTGATCACATCCTAATGTATCTTAATAACCTTTCTTCAAGTAATCCCGTTGTGAAAAAGTGCTATAATCTATAAAATATTACATATATCGTTCATATGTATACGTACATTTATGAAGTTTCCTCCTATTATATACACATACATGTCTATTTATTATGTTGATACCATACAATCTTGAATATCAAGGTTTTGTTTGTTATTTCAACTTATTCGTCTAATACACTCGTTAACTCTGTGTTTTAATATTAGAAACTAGTAAACAAATAACCAATCAAGTATTTATTTCTGTTCGTTCTTACATTTTCTGAATTAATTTATTCACTCACTATATTGTTGAATGTTTCAAAGATCTTTTTTAAAAATAATTGTAGCTACAACATGAACACAGATATATTTGTAAGAAAAAAGGGTAAAAACACAGCAATTTAGCATTTTTCTTGTTTTGTTTTACTTTATGCCTATTCGCTTATTATTCCACAATAGAGAGTTGAAATATTCATTGGTAGAGAATATTGAATACTTGATTGTTCATGCTTTAGACTGATTGCCTGAATCCATTCAACTTCTAGTTTTGTTACTCGTATTATGTCATAATAGCTCCATTTCTCATATCATACTTTGTTTCCAAGCCGATTTTATATTTTTCTCATGAAACAAAATTTACGAACTTCTGTTTGTATTTTGTGCAATTGTAATCGATCAGATGTTCAAAGAAGTAACAGTAGCTTAGAGTACTAGTAGTTTTTCTTTAGCTAAATGTTAGGAAATAACCCATTTGCTTATAATTATATATACTCGGATACTCTTCCATATCGCTAAATACCAGCGTTTTTGATAGACATAAAATATTTAGCTCTTACTATACAACATTTATTCATTAGAATAGTAGTAAATAATTAGGGTTTCCTTTACTTCCTAACAACACTGAACTTAGTCAATAAACAGAGTTCTCTCCAAAGCACCGTCTTTAATATTTTAAACTAACTGGTTACTACCACTGAGGTTGATAAGTTTGGAGTGATCAAGCATATGGGTTTAAGAAATAAGGCAGTTTTCTCATGAATTTATATGTACAATATGTAGTTTCTGACGTGCAATGACTTGGTTGTTAAGGTAATTGACTTTCTATCTTTATCTAACAGATGCCGAACCAGACTTATCCATTTCTGTTTCAGCATCTGATTAGTATCACGAGTTCTTCCATATATGAGGCATGGCTCAAATCCGGGTACATGAAACTGTCCTTGGTATGTCCTGATAAAACTAGGATCTAGACTGGATGAATCGTATGAAGTCGGGTGTTAGATAATTGACCTACAGGTGATAAATAGGTAATCTATGTGTGATGTTAATTGACTATCTAGATTACAGTATATTACTTTATCACGATAATTTGTCCATCAATTGAACGATTTATTATTTTATATTCGTTGTGCTCAAATTGCCCATATGTTAGTTGAATTGATATGTTTTTTACGACCTCTACCGCATCGCGATTAGTTATCTGATTGAAAAAAGTTCGTACAAGCTTACCGATCATTAGTGACAGTTTGTCAAACAACCGCGATAACGAATTTCATGTATTCACAAGCTCCAAATCGAAAAGAAATCATTTCCGTAATTCTAACAAATTTATAGCTGGGTAGTACAACCATTGTCGAAATAAATTGAATATAATTGGTTCAAACTTCAAGACACTTCAGGAATTCCCCATATTTTCTACATGATGCTTGATATCTCAGGAATAAAATGGTTCCTTCTAGAAATTTGATGTACAACTTCGCAGCTGACATTTTAAGGAATCTATCTCATTTCTAATCACCCGAGTCAATAAAAGTCTTGAAAATATTTTAAAACCAATGTCCTGTGTTACACTATGCGTTAAAGCATATATCATACCAATCGTTTGGATACTTATTAACAGTGGATTGCATGCTGTTGGTTTAAAAGGCTCCATCAGTGGGATCCGACAGATAATGTGCTAACTGGGGACTTAAATACATAGGTCAGTTGTCTAAGCACAGAGTCGTTTGAGTAACAAATAAAGGTTCGTTATTCGCAAGCTGAATCATGGGTAAGGCCTGGGATTTCGTGCAGATTACTACCCTTTTCTGATCAGCACCAACTTCCGACATAATCATTACTTGTCTCCTACATATCATCCTCCCTCTGCTATACAAGCCTGCACTAAAATTGATTACATTCCTATTTGCTGTTAGTGGCTTGGTTGTATTCAGGACTGGAGTTTCTTTTCGAGTGTCTGTCAGGGTTCTGATGATGCTTTGGTATCGGCCAAATTTATTTTATATTTTGGTGGCAAAGAAATTCACTTTTCTAAAAGAACTGACAAAAGTAAACTGACTACACCATCCGCTACATTCAAATATAAGTCCGAGCAAGGTTGATAGCCAACTGGAAAGTGCAGATGAACGCTGAATTTATGTCTCCATAAAAGTGAGGATTAAGAACACCCACAACTTCACTAAGCGTCCCACTTATGCCAGCTGGATCTCTGATGGCTCCCTCAACTCCATGAGCTTTGGTGGTTTACTTCAGCAAATCGTGAGTTTGTTTCTATAAATAACTCATAGGACTCCCCAAAACTTTCGTAATGACTGTGAAACCTGTTAGTCGAAGGATTCTATCTAGTTGGAAGCAGCATTTACGCCTCTCCTGCTGCTGGGAGTCACTTCAATTTATTCAAGACATTAGTATCAAGAACCTTAGCGTCATTGAAACATAACGCTGGTTCGTAACCTCGAACTCGCACAGTGCATTTTTATAGTCCTGCGGATTTTTTTGAAATAAAATTTTCTGAGCTGGATGGTTTACTCGTTAGGTTTTCATTGTCTTTCCCAGACATTTCAGAGAGAAGTGAGCCATGAGAATTTTTCCATAAATGGCTAGCGATTTGTTCCATCAATCTTAAAGTTGAGTAAATGGTTGTTGACGTTTGTTCTGCCATTGTTCGGACATCTATTTTGATTGTCCTCCTCTTCGCCCTTATGCTTTTTTAATGATTTTTCAAATTGGTTGGTAAATTGAGTTTATTTCACCAAGCTTATTGATTACTGACTGATCTAGGTGCTGAGCTTCTGTAGATCATTCGGTTTTCTCTGTCCAATATTTTGAAGTTTTTCCAGTAGAATATATGTCCACAGTTACCAATGTATATTGATATTGGCGCTTTAACGTCTGTAATGTTTTTACGGATAGTATCCGTCTTACATTCTTTAGTTATTCTGTTTCTTTGCACGAAATCAGTTGAAGAGATGTTACTGCTTATGATTGACACTTATTACTACTGACCTCAATAATCAGGTCGAACATTCTGATATCCTTCAGTGTATTTTCACTCTTTTGTATAAAGTTTTCGTACAATTGATTTTGTGAGTTGTTGCTATTTTAGTTAGCAATTTCTGTGTCGTTTGGTTTTCAGTACGCTTTAGTCCCTAGTTTCGCAGTATTGATTCTAGTGTTCAGCACATTCAAGTATAATAGTTTGTTACTTAGTTCTCTTTTCAATATGAACTTTGTGTTATCGAAGGCGTTGTCGATAAAATTGTCGACATTCTTCCACTATCTCACAATCACATAGGCGTAACACGGAGTGAAAGTGAGTAAATATTCTAACTTCTGAAATGTTCAGTATGCAGGTAACCTTTTGTCAGACAAATAGCCGAATTGTTCTCAGATTTGATATGTAGGGATTGCTTAATTATCTGGGAATCATGTGACTGTCGTTCGCAATTTTTAGATGAGGCGAAATCAGTTATGCGAAAATTGTATGGGTTGATCTGCTACATATTGCCTTTAAACTATTGAATATCTAACACTCCATGAGTTCAAAACTTGTGACAAACAAATTCACTAAAAAGGACGGGTTCTATTCCATTTTATCGATTCACTAATCTTATCCTCATTCTCCAACAAATCCTAGGACATTACCATGCATACTAGATGCTAACAACCGTCGTGTTCTCTGATTTTAGCACCCTATCCTATTGGTTGGGAACGATTGTGCCCTTAGACTCCCTATCGAAAAAGAGTTGGTTTAGTAAGTTTGTTAATATCTTGAAGGCTGTTAGCGGGACCGTGTTCTAATTTTGGGACTTGCCGAGTGAATTGGTGTCCAAGAGTACTAAGCAATAGGAACAGCTGGATTGCAATAAGAGAAATATAACAAAGGCTGTTGGGGATTATTACTGTAATCACAGGATGCAGCTTTCACCCTCAAAATACAAGTATGTTTGCAGAAACATGTCCCAACTTTCGTTCTTTGTAATAAGCCTTTGGAAATAGTCAAAAATTGTCACTAGGTAGTTGTATAAGTACTGGTAATAGCTTGTTAGATATGATCGATCTAAGTATGATAAAAGCCAGAGTAGTTGATGGCAGTCTTGGCCATCGGGATGTTATCCTGACTATTAAATGCTATGTTTACCAAGGATCTCTAAGAAGTTTTCAGTTCTGCACTTTTAAAACCTAAACTTTCCAAGCTGTGGATGCTCGAGGACTGTGTTCGGTCGTCGTTGTCTCCGACGTATTGGTCACATCCTACCGTAACCTGATGTTGGCAGTACTAATGGACAGGTGCGTCTTGGTGCTCAGCGAATAATTCAACCAATATGATCATCTTGCAGCACCAACTACAGTGGCTTGTTCATGCTTTACAAGTGTCATCTTATCTTTTCACGACATCAATTCTTTTGTACGTATTTCAAGTTACTCTTTTTGCCAGAATTTATATTCTGTGAATAAGCATGCAAAGGAGATAAAATAGCTCACTGTGTCGTTTTTACAATACAGTTAGATACTCACAATTGATTGATCACTGGGTGGTGATCAATCTCATGCTTGTCTAGTCCTTATTAGTGCAGATCGAATGCTATCGATCATGTTGCAATGTGGCCACCAGTCTAGGTGACTCGACACTGCGAGCACTATGTAATGAGATTAGATGGTGGTTGGAGGTAGTCAACAGGAAACCCTGGACCCGGGTTTCGTGCTACTTGGCACTCGTCAGCAAGGTGTACCTGTAATCTTGAGGGAACTGGTCCTCCCTGGCGGATTCGATCTCGTGTCACCCAGCTTCACAGTCAGAGACGTTACCACTGAGCTATCCGAGCAGTGTCGAGTCACCTAGACTGGTGGCCACATTGCAACATGATCGATAGCATTCGATCTGCACTAATAAGGACTAGACAAGCATGAGATTGATCACCACCCAGTGATCAATCAATTGTGATTACATCTCAGTCCTACAGGAGGTTAGTCACGGCTCGGATAGCTCAGTGGTAACGTCTCTGACTGTGAAGCTGGGTGACACGAGATCGAATCCGCCAGGGAGCACTAGTTCCCTCAAGATTACAGGTACACCTTGCTGACGAGTGCCAAGTAGCACGAAACCCGGGTCCAGGGTTTCCTGTTGACTATCTCCAACGACCATCTAATCACAGTTAGATACTCCTAGACGTTAGAGCATGTGTTTTACTGAGGATTTTGAGAGATGTAACTGTACATGTGAAACTTATCCCAACTGGCAATAGTTTGGAGGTAATCATGGTTCTAAATTTATCCACTACACTATTTTATAATTAATTTCAAAACGGTTGTGAGCTAGAGTATGTTTGAGTGAGATCATTTTTCGGAACACGTTTATAAATTAATCTACTATTTGATCACTTTCTCCTCGAGTTTGTGTATACTCATTAGTATCCTATTCACTATCTACTTTGTGATCATCAACCATTTACAATCGATTTTCTAACCACTCTAACTTTCGTTGATGAAAAACGAGTAGTCACAAGATCTCA